TGTGGACCCTGGCCACTGCGCCCTGGGGCTTCCTAAATGCACTGCGCATACCTGGCTGGAGCCTAAGATGGGGACGGCATCCGGGCATGAATGTCCGCTGGGAAGGGCTGTCTCCAAGGTCGACGAGAGCAACCCATACAGAAAACAGGCTGCATATACTACTGAAGAGGCTGCTGTCTGCAGCCTCTGCACACTGGGCGCACACAGGGAGACGAGCACGGTCAGCTGAGCTGACTACAGATGTTCGTCCAGTCTGGATTTCACTAACCCCAGATAGCCCCTCTGTAACTAAACGAGGCAAGGCTATCAAGATTTCCTTTCCATTCAGTACTTATTTGGGGGCATAAACATAATAGGTCAAGATGTTTGGAGAACAAATCCCACCGAGTAGCCCACGTTAAAGCCACCGCCTTGACCTAACAGAGGAACAAGGAGGAATTCCATGGACAGTCACCGACCTGTCGCTCAGAAAGCAGATGACCAGCCCCCCGGTCGACAGTGGAGAGACTGCTGGTTCCACTGCCAAGGCTCCACCTGGGATCTTCAAAGTGAGGAAAGCCGGCAGCCCGGAGAGGGGAGAATGCCAGCACGGTGTGAGGGACCCAGCCGCCATCCAGCTGGTCATTATCACAACAGTAACTCACTAAACACAGTTATAACGGAAGATTCGTGCAGACTACTGCATTCATGAGAGAAAATAAAGTGTTCAGAGTAAAACCTGATTGCCTTCCTGTCTTCCTAAAACAACTACCAAAACACAGCTTACACTGAGGTCGCTAAATGAAGGACTTCAGGACTAAACGAAGGGCACAGACTTCAGGCGCCAGATCAGCCACCACCACTGACAAAGCGCCTTTCCAACTCACCAGCGGGGCTGAGTATGAAGCCCTCTTTCTCACTTCAGACTCACAAAGGGAACCTCAGTCAGGAAGGATATGCCATTTCCAGCCATTGCGTATGAGCAGCTCGTGGCCACACAGTGTGCCCACAGCAAGGCTGAGGCTGGGGACCAGAGCAGTGCACATTCTCCTGGAGCAGCAGGACTTTCTGGGAGGAGGATGGAGGTTGGCTGCAGAAAGCATGCAAGACAGCTCAGAGACAGAAGTCTTCTCTAGCCTACACAACTTCCGCTGGCACCAGGTCCCCAGCCTGTCCCAGGATCTAAGAGGCACTTCCCAGGGGAGACCTTCGAGGTTTCTCATTCAGAAGCTCAACTCCTGTATGTACAAAATGTCAAGTAGTAACATCTGTTCTCTGGGGCTGGTGTGAGGCTATCAACAGACACCAAGCCTCTAGTCCCTGGGTACCTAACACGATGGGTCCTCATTAGATGGTGGCTAATTTCAAAGACCAGACTATTGTCCCTTCTGAGACACCAGACCCTGAAGCTGTGTTTCCAACAGTGGGAACAAACTTCTGGCCATCAGCACGGGCGTAGAGACACACAGAGACCACACTGTTCTCATTGAAAGGTGGAGGACGGGGTGCTGTGGGAGTGAGACTTCCAAAAATATAGTGGGTGCCCAGGAGAGATGGGAAGCCTGAGTCTAGGAAAACTTGAGGCTGCATTCAAGACAGCTGGTGCCATGTGAAAGGCAGAACCCACTCAAGTCTGCATGGAGGGGGCCTCGGTGTAAGGACGGCAGGCTCAGACAGGAAGGAATATCGGCCCTCCACACAACCTGGCTGCCATGGGAACGGCAGCCACCTAATTACAACAGAGAAAATGCTGCTTCTTGGTTTTAACATTCGCAGTCAAGTTACAGGTAAATCATGGAAGCCCTTACTGGGATTAAAGAACAGAATATAATTATTATCAACTCCGAGCATATACATTTAAAAGGTACAGCTCCCCGAAATGGAAAGGCCGGGTGGGAGAAGGGTGGTGGACAAGAAATAGTGTCTCTAGGAGACAGAGTAAGTATGGAAGAGGCCGCAGGGGCCATCTGAGGGTACAGCAGGAGGACCGAAAGCATGAATCAGCCGTCAAGAGGGAGGGAGATGCGGACGGTCAGAGCAAGCTAATCAGTGATCGCAAGACTCCAAGAAACTGCTTCTAAAACTGACACAGGGAGAAATGGTGCTGCAAGCAATATAGTTATACACGTGGAAATCACCAAAAGCTGCAAAAACGATCTGCAGAGGGGAAAAAAGTGGCTGCTTCTAAGAAGAAAGGCTCGTAAGTGAAGGAATAGAGCAAGTAAGATAACTTGTTCTTTCCATTAAAAGCTTTCTATAGTGTTTTCTATTTTTAGCTATTTGCATGCATTACTTTGAATTTTTTTGTTTTAAATGAAAGATCCTCTATGAGACCATTGTTTAGATCACAGCAGGAGGATTTTCCTCCACGTCTACCAGGCCTTACAGTGGTGTGTTGAGAAGATTGCAGCTGGCCTTACCGTGTGTTTACTTTTTTTAAATCTTAGCAAAGTCATGTTTAAAACTCTGCAAGTGCACTAG